TAGCGGAGGGAAAAAAAATGATATTAAAATAGAACTTTGGTGTAACCTGAATCAGGTAACTGTGTAGGTGAGAAATGATTTAGGTTTCTTTTTTTCTCTCAGTGTCTATCACTCTTATATCAACTAACAGCAAGTATAACACAAACATTAGAAACTGTTTTCTGAGGGTTTTTTTGCACTGTTTTGTGAAGCATTGTATTCAAAAATAAGAGTGCAAGGGTAGGTTTTCCTGTGGGTGTTGAATCTTGAGAAAACGGAGCATAACTTACCTGTTCAGTACGCACTGCTTTAAACAAGCCCATTGGTTAGGTGGATATGGATCATCAGATATGGATCTCCTTAGAGGGTGGAAACTTTGTCTTCCTGGTTATTCTTTCAATATCTGAGTAACTGGGAGGTTTTGTGTAGCTGAGATAAGTTGGTCTTGATTTAGAGCTTTTTTTCTATGGAGCAGGCCTTGTCGCATGGCTGGAAAATGCCTCTGTTCTCTGCTGCCCTCACCATTTCGCCAATCATATACGGCATTCTTTATACAATGTGAATAAATGCCTAGCCAGCTTGAATTGTCTGTGAATTGACTATATCCCAAGCATAGATTGATGTCTAGGTTCTCTAGATACCTGCTTGCGTAACCCACCCATTTGAAGGAGAAGGGATCAGGTTAAATCACCAGAGTAATGGAACTGGTATACTGTTGCCCATTAGGGGAGTTTTCAGAGGAAAATTAGCCAACTAATTTCAAGATTTAGGAAAGACTAAAAGAAGAATTAGTGACTTGGAAGCAATGTGCAATTGCCTGTGTCAGGGTGCAGCTTTTACTACCTACTATTGATTGTAGTTGGACACATGATTTTCATCTATATTTTACCTTTTTATCTGTATGTAATGAAGTTTGGTTCTTAAAAGCGATATGGTTTCAGCAGTAAAACTAACTGTTGCTCAATCCAAACTAAATGTAAAAACTTACAAGGAAACCACATGAAGAACAATCAGTAGATGCCGGTAAGTATAGTTTTGAAGCCGATGGCAAAATCTGCAACATTTTCAGCTTCACTGAGTTGCATTTTTAAGCTAGATCCCTGCCAACCAAAATACATTTGTAAGTTGTTAAGTTTTTCTTTCCCCCCTCCTGCAGCTCTGGCTCATGCATTCTGTTTTCATGCATTTTCTGATGAATATCAGAAATGATTTTTTTTCTCTCTGAAATTTTCAAGCCTGTTTTGCACAGAGCTGATTTAAGGTGGCAATTTCATTAAAATACTCATTTTCCAATTCTCCACTTGGAAGACTTTTTTGGGGAAAAAATTATCAGAGCTAAAAACTTGCTTACAGCATCTGCCAGGGATGTTCTCGGAGTCTTAAATTAATCTAGTTTTGCCTTGGCATATCCTCTTCAACCAGTCATGGAAAGCTTGTCTAGGTAGGCATTTATGAAATTCTTGGAGGAAAGTCCAGCCCTAATATTCAGACTTGCTGCATGTGCTAGTTCATTGGCAAGTCTGCCTTTCCCATCTGTTGCAATGGCTTTATGCCCACTAATAGGGTGATTAGTATCAGCAGAGTGTATAAGCCAGGAAAGATGAATGGTTTGGTTGAACTGATGACTCTATGAGATAAAAATCTGAACTGTAGTAGGTATCATGATAGTAACTATATATAATATGCAAACAGGAGTATGATATTGCAGTCCATGCCTTCAGCTGACATCAGTCAGATTTGATGGCTAGTGGCACATAATGAATTTGTTTTTTGCCATAAAGTTGGCACATGTGAGAATATAAGCAATGAGCTGTTGATCTGCTCTAATTCTCTGTAATGTAGTCGTTACAACTTTTTTTTGAGGCTTTTCTCTCAGAAAGGAAATCATTTCAATGTAAGGTCTTCGTTGCATGTTTGTTCTGTTGCTGGCTTTAGGCATTTGTTACAGTCTGCACCGTAAATGGCAGTATGATACCTTTGGGTAACACTGTTGCAATAGAAGCTTGAAATTTAAAAATACTCAGTACCTGTTCTTAGTCTTGCTTTCCTAAGGACTATCCTTGTCCAATATCTCTTTCCTGGCAATAGCTAATCTTAGATTAAACCACAGTATTATCTAAGTCTTTGGAACTATTTGAGGGCATATTAGCTTGTACTCTGATCATAACTTCTGGAGTGTTGGTTGCTAAAATATCTGTCTTTGTGCTGATGGCAGCAGCAGCTTCCGGGTGCTCATGTACTGGATAGCTCAAGCTTAGTTCAGGTGTTACAGTATGATAGCCTTGAACTGGAGAGAGATGCTTTACTATGTGTTAATTTTACACTTTTCTGCATGCTTACATACTCAGTAGGATGCGACTGTACCTAGCGTTCTAGGGGCTTTGAGAGTGTTTTGGCAGGACAGTCATTACTGAGATATTGTCCTGCTGGCTGGGCTGCATCCTGCCTTCTTCTTCTCTGTGCCTTACAGCATGCTGTAGTTACCCTATTTTTCCTGTCTATCATTTAAAAAATACTGTGTTTCCTTTTGGAGCAATATGCTGTTCAAATTGATGTGGCTGTTCAAAGCGAGAAGTGGCTGTAACTGCTAGCTGTTTTCTCATAACTTCTCTTGAAACCACACCTACTCTACAGAGTACACAACTACAGAGTTGCTTAACTTGAGGGTCCCTTGAAATAATCGTTGAATTCTGTCTTGCTGTTGTGAATTGGCAACACATATAAATAATGCTGTAATGGGAGAGGAAGACAGTACTGCCCAGCACCACGAGATGTCGTGCAAACAGTTTGTGGTGTGAAGTGCTCACAGCGAAATTCAGGATTCTGTAATTTCCTGCTAGAGGAGGAACCCAAACGTAGAGCAAACTGAATTTTTAGTCCTTTCTTAGGACTTAATTACAACTGCAGACACCAGTTGAGCTGCTCTATTAACGTGACTCTTCTGCTTTGAACCTGGTAACATCTGTGATAGTTTGCACTTCATGTTAAAACATTTTGCTGAACACTTCATTATACTGCAAACAAAAATCTCTTAACGTGCTCTCATTGAAAGTATGTAGTCCAGACTCAGATTCCCTGGGGACTGGAGGGTGCAAGAACAACCTAGTTGATGTGCTGTAACTAAAAGCATGCAATAGATTGAGAATTTAAGAAATACATTAATACAACTATTTTGGAACGTTTGTTATTTCTGTTCTATTTCTGATGGTCTCATGATATCAGTACTAATGCAGCTCGTTTCCTCCCCTGCAGTAGATTTGCATTCAATGTCTTGCGTATCTTACTCATGTAGTAACCCAGTACTTTCCCTGCATGTGAAAAGCCTCTATCTCACTGCAAGTTGTTGATTCCTTTTACAATTCCTTTTTTTTTTTTTTTTCCTCATTCCAAAATGATAAAATTAGCTCCAAGGTTTTGGGAATGTACGTACAGAATGGGAAAACATGGTAATCTTATTTTTCTAGAGACAAAAGGTTGATAAACGTCAATAAGCAAAGCTTTTGTAGCTGAAGAATCATTGGTTGCTTGCTGGGCTCCTGTTGCAGTTTTGACATTATGAAATGTATACTTCTGATTTTTACAAAGAATGCATTAGGATTATTAGATTACTTCAGTAGCTGGATGCAGTTGACATGTAGCAAGTATTGACAGTTGCTTTGATATTCAATATTAATAATTGCTTCTGTAGAATTATGCTTCTGTATTATGGTATTACTAAATACTATGGTATTATGGTAATGACTATTTCTGATGCTACTAAAAATGGAGATATAATAAGCATGCATCCTCCCAGAGTGGAGTAAGCATTCTCTTGTCAATAATAGTTGCTCAGTTGTTGCAGACGCAGTGACAAATAAATTGACAGAAATTATGGACTAGTATTTTTGCTCAGATTAAATGACTTTTGCAGTTAAAGTTTTAAGGTTGTTCCAAGAGAAGATGAGTCGACTGAGAAGAGACACTTATTAGTAGCATACTTGGATTAAACTTGAGTGGTATACATTTATACCTGACCTATTTGGTTTTGCAGAAGAGGCAAGATGCTAGTTTTTGTGACTAAGTGTGCATTAACAAGAATACAGTGGTCAGGTTTTTGGGAAGCCCTCTCACCTCTTCTTATACTTGCAGAAAATGGGCTCAGAATGACAATGTATTTACTTTTTTTTTTTTTTTTTTTGCACTGATCATAGCTGTATAACCCTTTCTATTATGCTTAATATAACTCAGTATTATCCATTAGCTATCAGATTAGACTTCTTTAACCTACTGAAGCAATAGAGCTCGTATTTCAGTGCTCTGTAACGTGTGCCTATCTTAGGCTTAGGCTGTAACGTGTGCCGCCTTAGGCTAAAACTACCCTCCAAGTTTGAAGGGGAGAGGGAGAATTATTGATGCAGCTGGACTGTTATTTGCACTTTCCTGACCTGTTGGCAGGTGGGCATAAATGATAAAGACATTTGTTAACTTTGTGCACTGAAGGCCTGTCACTTTAGCATAACTAATGAATATAGAAACATGGAATTAATGTGAGATTTGCATTTATACTTTTTATTTTAAAGGGTTTTCCTCAAGAATCTGAAATTTCCTTAAATCTTCTACATGTTCAGAAGATGAAAACACTGCTGTACTGTACAATAAATACTATGAAAAACTTTCATAGGAAAGGAAAGTATTTGTCTTTACCATTGTTAGTTAAAGCCGCTGATAAGCATTGTTTTTGGAGGGAAATGACCTTTGAAATCTACCTAGAGTATTTATTTCTAGAAGTTAAAACAGCAAGGGAGTGGGTCTCCTGTTAAATAGGAAGTCTCAGCGGGCTAGCTTGGCTGATTGCGTTCCTTTTTTTATTATTATATTTAAAATATTGTGCTTAAAAGAATGGAACAAAATTCTACAATGATGGGTAAAATAAATGAGGTTTCTTGTGCTATTAAATCTGTTCTTAAAAGCGAGAGCTTTGGTGTTACTCTGAAACCATATCTGAATATAGAGGAAAAAGGGCTTGCTGCTGCTTCTGCATTAATGGAACAACATTTTACTCTGTAAGTATTTAATGCTTGCTGTCGTCAGATTGTAATCCAGATTAGAAAATAATTTTTAAAATTAAAATAGTTTATGAAGAAATTAATTTCCAAATCAATTCATCAAGGACGTTTGTCGGTAAACAGATCTTAATATCTTAATTTTACCAGTTTTTATCTTTTCTGTTAACATTTCACAGTACTTTTAATTGTAGCACATGAGAAAACGTTTTCTACAAGCAGTTAGAAATGCATTAATCCTTAAGTACATTATTCTTTATTTTGTCTAAATATCTTTGTGTCTTAAATTCAACTACGTTTCACCTCCCCCTCCTTAATTCTTTTTATCTCCACTACAATCCTGTGACTGCCCTTTTGTCATTTCCAACTGCTGGGAGCTATTATATTGTTTAGCAGAATATTTGGTGGTTAGTGTCTATGAGTGTGAAATGGAATTTTGTGCTGTGTAAATTTTTTTTATTTACTTCCAGAATTTTCTGATTTGTGATTTCCAAATTTGTTGACAGCCTCATTTTTTTCATTTTATGCTTAGTATTTTCTTTAGTAAATATAGTCCCAAACTTCATTCTTAATCAGCTTCTCTGTAGCCTAGTTTTAGAGTGTCTTTTTTATTATTATTATTTCTTCAGGGAAATCTTTATCCGTTTAAATTTGTTTTCATTAATCCATAAGTTATATGTGAAGTAGAAGAGATTGACTGGTCTGATCATTTTTGATTTCAGAAGACCATATGCTATCTTCTTTATTTAGAAAATTAATTTTAAAAAAATAATTGCTTGGTTGTGCCAAGAAACTGAAGTATCCTACCAATCATATGATGAACAAGGTGATCACAATTTATTGATAGAATTCAGTACTTTTATTCTGTACCTTTTGCTGCTGTCTCCATCTCAACTTCTGCATGAGTAGGTGAAATGGTTTTAAGAAAGTAGAAAAGCTTTCTAGATCAAGTCTAGCCCTCTGCTGTGTCTTTGGTGGTTGTGTTGCATAGTTTCCTTTATAAATTAAATTTGAAAATTAAGGATTAAAACCCAAGCAGAATATATTAGAAACTTCTGAAACTGAAGGTGCATTCCGAGTGAGATGTTTCAAGCTAATGGGAAAGAAATGAGAATTGTTGTGTAGTCTTTGAAGAACAGGAAGAAAGGGAGAGAGAAGAATGAGATAAAGTGAATTGCCAAAAATTAAATCAAGGTGACTTTTCTGGGAAGTCTGAGTTACAAACAGATCTTCAGACATAGATTAGAAAAGAGAAGGAAAAAAATGCAAATAGTTGTTATAGGATCATATATAAATAACAAGTTGTTGATTTCTGGCATCTAAAATAAGAATTCAGAATGTAAAAAATGCAGAGTGACTAAAATGAGCATGAGTGTGGAAGGGAGCCTTAGGATGTTTGAAATGAAATCAGAAAATGAAAAAATTAATGCAGAAGGAGATGCATTTTATTGCAGGAGTTGGAGGAGAAATGAGGAGGGGGACAGAAGAAGATGCATAAAATTACATATTTAGCTTTTGCTATTTTAAAAATCATCTTGGGATGCTATTACAAGAAGAAATATGTCACCACTTGCATTTGCAATATAAAGGGCAAGTATAGGTGTATTAAACTGACTTCAACAGTGTGGTAAGCTTCAGAATAAATTGGGATAGAAAATATAATTTTAAGGGACTAAAGCCAAAAACAAAACAAAAAACCACCAAACAAACAAAAACAACAACAAAAAAGTAAATATAGAAAGACAGACCAGTAAGACATTTTAAGTGCAAAAGGTGCTAAAGCAGGCAAAGAAATGGAATGCTTCCACTTCTTAAATATATGAATAAAACATCAATATGCATATTGTATATAATATATAGGTATATGTTTATATACATATGTAACTTAAATATGCTGTTACACGAAGCCAATGATTCATAACAGGCCATCTCTAGTAAGATGTTCAAGTGTTTAATGAAACCTTATTGAAAAAGCACTTGCATTTCACTTAGAAGTTCTATTTAAATCTTTGCTTTCTGAAGTTTTTGCATGTCTGTCTTTTGTCTTATTAAGAAAAACGTTCCTTTTTCCTCTGGTTGTGACTATTTTTGTGGACATCTTTTAAAGTGTGTGGGCAATGTGGTTTCCTCATGGCAGGAGGGAAATACAGAAGCAGCAGTTGGTCGAAAGATAGAAGAAACAAATTTAACCTGCTTCAGAGAAAAAGATCCTTAACTTTTAGTTAAGGAATGTATTGAAAAATTCATTCTTGTTATATTAGAATAAGTATCCCTTTCAAGTAGGAAAAAGTCTGCTTAATACTTTTTATGAGGTATTGATGTTAAATTTGTGGCTCTTTGAAATTCATGCTGTTTTTGTGGGTTATATCTTTTTTCCCCCTTTAATCTCAAATTTTTAGTGCATTGATAAAATTTTTGTACTTGTAAAACTTGTATTTTCTAAAATTTTATATTCACTTCTCAAATCCTTACTTTGGATTTCCAAATTATCTCTCAACACTTGACAGTTCATGGATTTTGTGAATTTTAAAGCCATTCCAAGTTCATTGGAATTTAGTGGCTATTGTCTTGTCCCTGTGTGGCTTGTGTTTGTAGTGTACTTAAAGACAATACAGAATTTTATAAAAGGAAGTATCTTCGTAATCTCTTTTGCAGGTTTTTAGAGTCTACAAAAGCAGTTTATCTATGTGAATAAATTGTGATCTCTTTGCCATCTAACAACCCAAGCAAGTTCAACTTTGGGGTAGAGATTACTAATGAGAAACTGTATCTGTGAGAAGACATCATTATCAATTAATATTTTCAGTTGGAATGCTGCTTCATCTGTAAAAAGTATTTGTACATCAGATGTGTGTAATCAGGCGGCTATCTTAATCTTGTGTGCTGTAGAATAGCTGTGCTACTGACCTGTTGAATAAATGTTCTGAAAGCAGCAAATAGAAATCTGCAAACTAGAAAACATGATGGAGAGAGATAATACAGTGTGGTCTTGATTACTATTGAAATTCAGACCATCCTGTAACCTGCTCTCAGGCTTTTCAGTGATTTGCGTAAGTCCATATTATATTCTAACACGAAAATCTCCACCTCAGGCTGTTACATTTGGCACTCTTTGAAAAAACATGAATAAATCAGTTTGAACTGAACTGTTATTGCCTCAAAACATCAACCTTCCAGGCAGTGACTGAGCTCGTGGTGGATTAGAGTTGCAAGCGCTCACATTATTGGTGGAATCTGAAAGATTCTGTTACTAAATGCTCCATTCATTATTCTAGGCCAGAATACTAACAAAACTTTAAAAAGAATAAGAAGGAGCAGTGCTTTGTTTTAAGTTGCTGAAATAATTTGAGAATATAAAAATGGTATTTTGTTTTTATTTTACCTCTCTAATTGGTTTTTTTGTTGTTTTATATTCTTACTATAGAAATGAAGACCTAAAGCAGATGTTGGAAAGCAGTAAAGATTCTTCTAAGCTGGATGCTATGAAAAGGATTGTTGGGGTATGTGATTTTTTTTTTCCCCTTTCTTTGGATGTGAATATTGTTTCCACCGTACAAATCCTGTGCTAAGTCAATGTTTGAATGTGTAAGTTGTGTTGTACTTTTTTTTTTTTTTTTTTTTCCTGAGACTGAAACTTATATTTAAAAGGGTGTAGTTGCACATAGTTTGGTGATACTTTTGTAACAATGCCAATATGGCTATAAACTGTTTTCAGTAGGGAGGCTATCAAGGCTATATATTAAATGAGAAGGTAATTCTACTAAGCCTTCAGTTGTTGTCTTAGTTTAGCAAGTGGGAAGCTGCAGAAACTTGATGGGTTAAAATGACAATTTGCAATCAATATGCTTTTACTGTTTTTGTTTTTATATAGTTTTTTAATTAAAAAAAGCAATTTTAAATATTTGACAGCGTTTTGAATGACTGTGTACATGTAGTGATGATTAAACAATCTTTAACACTATTATATATTGAAGTCTTTTGTCTGAATACTGTGAAGAAGTTTAAGCTCCTTTATTTCTTCTTAAAAATATTAAAAGAATAGTGCTGAAGAAAGCTCTTCAGTGTTCACTTAATTTGTTACTGTGTGACATCTGCGATTGCTTTTTCATTGTTCCTTCAGTTTCCTGTGTTTTTATTTCATTAAATGTCACTCAGTCCTCTCTTGAATTTAAGTGAGTGGGTACAGGGGGAATGGGTTTTGACCTGTGCTTGGAAACTCTTGCAGCTGTGAGGGGAAACTGTTACATTTGTGTGTGTGCGTATTTATCAATTAGGAAATTAAGTTAAATCAGGTCTGTTTAAACTTTAAAGCCAAATTTTATAGCTTGATCTTTATTAACAATGTGCTTAGCTGGTTGTTAGTTCTTGCTCATTATTAAATTTGCTTCTACATATTCAGTGAAGTTAATTCTTAACAGTCGTATCTTAAATTAACTGCAAGTATGTAATTTCATGGAGCTGGTGATGTTATTTAGGGCTGATGGGCCTAGGTGGGGGAATCAGGTTCAAGAGACCTTCGGTAAGGAAACCGGAGGTGAATTGAGCGTCTTCTTTCTCCTGGGCCCCCATTTCCAGATCAAGATGGTATCCTTTTATAAGGTGTTTGCAGCTCTAGACAATCCCCAACCTGAGGTCTCTGCCACGTGCTAGCACAGCGCAGTGCTGGCTGGATAGGTGGGTTTACATGTGCATGCTGCAGCAGGCACCTTCAGTTACTCAGATATTTCTTTACTTAGCTTAGCTGCTGTTTCTTTTCTTAGAGCAAAAGCAGTCTTTTTTTTTTCCTAGCTCTTAAAGTTGTCTTCTACTTGACTGTCAGTGAGTTGTTTATGGTTCTGATACATTTGTTTTTTTTCAATTTCATATTATCAGTGTGTCCCATACTTAATGTGTACATCATGACAAGAGGCACCTGGTACCAAGCTCTGGTTCACCTAAAAAGTTGACAACGAACTTCGCAGGCCAGGGCTGTGACTTTGCCCAATAGCGTAAGGCCTACAGCTCTGTAGTGTTTTGCTTACAGCTGAGTTTAAAAAAAAAAAAAAAAAAAAGCTAATATTAATCAAAGCCTGCTTAGTATGCTTCTATTTACTGGGGGAAGCAACAGGCCACAGCTTAGGCTGCACAATGAATCTTCTGTGTTCTTTTCCAAGCTGCAAACCCCATCAACTCACCACTTGAAATACTGTGAGGCAAATGGTCTTTGTTTCTCTCTTTGCAGAATGTAGATCTGTACAGGGTGACACGGTGATTTTATCAACCATTGTGTTAATATAAAGGCTTACAGAAGTTATATAGTTGTTACACAGTGGTTTAAGGCTCATTGTGCTGTGTGAAAACATTTGAGATCTGCTTCAGACACCTTAAGTGCATGGCAGAAGAGTGTGTGTGACTGGTTCACGACACTCAGTGTCAGTATAGACATGGTTGTCACTTGAGATGATGAAAAGATGGCAATGCATTATTTCAGATATTGTATGTATGCATATGGTTTCTTCTCCTATGTCCCTTTTCTCTGGAGCCCCAGAGAAGTGGGAATACATCTGTCTTATATGAAGCTGAAGAATGGCTTTATAATTGTATGTGAACCTTGAGGATAGGTGGATGTATGTGTTGCTAACACTCTTGCAAAGGTTTTAATTGTCTGGGTTTGAGTTTCTGGGGGAACATCCAGCGTGGATGTCTGTATCGCCAACATCTTGACAGAGCATAATTACTGCTCAGCATCACTTTCCCTCTTTCCCCTTTAATCTGAATCAGTGCTGCCAGATGTTATATGTTACTGAAGGAAGCAGGTCTGGCACACAGGTAGCAGAAGGAGGGATATGACAAAAGATCTGTAGAGCAGCTAGGAAGAGATCAGCATGAGCACGTTCTCGTGCAGGGGATGTGTTTTCCAGAGTTAAAAGGGAGCTCCCTGTCAGAGTATTGTATAACATGCTGAGTCCATATAGTACTTGACCCTTCACTTATATGCAGAAAAAGCTGTCTCATCCAGTAGCTTTCTCTTTTTAGTATGCTTCAAAGTTTGAATCTTGTTCCTGCATATAGGAGCATGGAAAAGTACCAGGAGAACAGTTTTTTTTATAGCTCGTTTCTTTCCCCTTTTTAGCTGGGTTTCAAACTCTCTGCTGGAGAGAAGAAAATTCACTGCAAACAAATAAACAAGTCCTGTAGGCAGTGACTGTTAAGCGTGTAATTTACAACATAATTTCAAGTATAGAAGTAATTTCTTGCTGAAATTTCCGTTTCCTGTCTTGAAGCTGTTTAAGACTATTCTCAACTAAAAATGCATACATATGGTTTTACTATGATCAAATAACAAGTGGTGTTTTTTCAGTTAGTAAATTATTTTTGACTTGTTTACAGGCATAAAGTATTTCTTGCTTATATGTCATAATCCCAGTCTGCGCAAGTTTAGCAACAAAAATGGTGTTTTAGAAATAAATCTGAAGTATATAAAGCACCAAGTGTATTTGATTATATGCATGGAAGAAGTACTGATACTTGCATTTAAGACCTGCTGCTGCTATTACAATGCTTTTGTTAGCATGTTAAACCTCATTTTTCTCCTCCTCTAAACTTCTCATGTAGGAAAAATCTAAGCAAAATTTCCTTTCAGAATTTCAGGATTTGTTATTTTGGAAACAGTCATGTGCCTAAGATGCCACAGCAAAGTGCTTCTCTGTGTCTGTCACTTTCAAAAAGAACAAAACAAGTAGTTTAGTGCAGCCTACCATATGCACAGCCCACATGACCCATATATCTTCTGTGAGCAGAAAGCATGGAGGCTTGTGGGCAGATGGAGAGTTTCCTGCAGAATAAAGTTCCTGCTTGTGTCGGAGCTGTAGTTGCCTAAGGCTTCCCTCAACTGGAGAATGTTGAGGCACAGCAGTAAATTTAGTCTTAGAAAGCACTGTTATATTCTTCCAGGTTAATGATCCACAAGCTAAGAAGGGTTTACGCTAATCATTATGACTTGGTGAGTCAAAACGCAGCCTTTTGAAAGACCCTCAACACATATGTTTACATGATACACTGGAGCTGTTGTGGTTGGTTGGTTAAACAACACAAATGGTGCGTAGATTTCACTGATAAGGAGTAGCACTGTGATGATAATTTAAAATTGAAGAATCATCCTTATTTTTGAATAACTTCCATTACATCAAGATATGGTGATGATATGTTCTTCTGTTATACTTATTTTCGTTGCATCTTGTTACAAAGCTTTGCTTGATTTTTGTCATTCTGAAATTGGAATCTGTTATAAAAAAACCAGTCTGAGTAGCAGTAGTTTCTTTTAGACTCTTAAATAAAAATCCCAGAAACTCATACAACAACTCATTAGCTTGTGTCATTTGTTCTTTTTTTTTTTTTTTTGGAGGGAGGGGCGTATGTATTTAATTATGTTTAAAATAAAATGTTATGCCGGATAGCTAGTTTTAGATTCTTTCAAAAGGTTCGGTGATAGTTTGAATTTCAACTCCTCCATTTCTTTTTAACTTTTCTTTTTCTAACATCGTAACAGGCAGTTGTTTAAATATTGCTTGTCATTTATATTTTCCTTTCTTGCCTTTACTGCATGAAATCTAAGTTCCTTATGCATTTGCTATGATTTACCAAAGAGATGTATATTCCTGACTTGTATCTCTGGTATATGAAGTTTGTTCAGCCACTCAAACTTGAACAAGGTTGAGGGTATGAGAGATTTATGGAAAATTGTGATTATATTTGCAAAACTGTATATTGCTGCACTGGAACCCTGCATATTTGATAGTCTTTTTGACTTCTTGTCCACTCCAATTAGGCTGGTGTTTGGCTGACTGGATCCTGGCCTTGGCCTCAGCTGGGACTGTTCTGAGTTATTTCTGATATGCTATGTTCAGCAGCATCATAACTGGAATTATTGCTGGACATACTGCTGTAACTTTGATCTGAGAGGACGGTACACTCTGTGTGCAAATATTTTATCCCTTTTATGTACTCGATTCTTATAAATAGCTTCCTTTTTTAAAGCTATTCATACAAGGGATAAAGCTAAACCATGTTTTGTTATTTTTTGCTTTTATTGGGAGAACAATTTTGTTTACTGTATGCCCTACTTTCAGATGTTTCTATGAGAACGTTTCCTTTTAAAGAATAAAATCACAGTAATATTTTCTGCTTTTACCTTTGTTTATTTTTGTCCCCTATAAATACTTCAGCAAGGTCTTTTGTGTTTAACTTGTTATGGAAACTAACCTTCTCTTGTTCTTGGCTTAAGTGTGATACCTATTTAGCTTTTCCCACCCCCCACCCCCCCCATTAAAATCACATTTTTGGGAGGAGTACAGGACTTCAAAATGTATATAACTTTTCCTTGGTTTAAACTAAGCTTGCTCCTTTTAGCAAGCAAATCTCTAAGCTGATGGTATTTCTTTTTTTTCCAGGAAGGCAACTTCCAAAATGGAATGTAAAGATTTTAGAATGAGCAAGTTCTCTTGTTGTAAAGCCATTAAAAAACATTAAAAAAGGTTTGCAGTACAGTATGGTAGTCATTGCTTCTTGTTGTATTACTGTCTAACATCTAGTGATTTTTGTCCTACACTAGTGTTCCATGAATGAATTTTATGTAGGAACAAAGAAGAAATGCAAATATGGAGTGATGCATCTCTCTCTCTCTTTTTTTTTCTTTTTTTCTTTTTAGATGATAGCAAAAGGGAAAAATGCGTCTGAGCTGTTTCCTGCTGTTGTGAAGAATGTTGCCAGTAAAAATATCGAGGTATTACTATAGCTCCTTAAACATACTGTAAAGATAAAGATCCCATAACATAGAAGATCCTTGTTTATGAAAATGGTATCTAATTGTATCTGTGAGTTCATCATACACTATAAAATATCTGTAGTATTTTGTTTGTTTTAAGTGGAACCTCTCTGAATTTAAATTCATGGAGCAGTTTTATGGAACTGTTTAACATACAAGCAATGGCCATTTGTTGGGATTTGGTTTGGAGGGGAGTGATAACTTTATTCACATACAAAAACAGAGAAAAAGGGGCTTTAAAGAGAAGTGCTTGGAGAAACTTTGTAGAAGAATATGGTGGTACTGAGGAAAGGCACTTTGTATCGTGAGCGTAGTGTTGGGCAAAATTTGAGCGGGAATTGAACTACATTGTATTTGAAAGTATCTGTTACAAATCAAGGCCAAGAAATAAAGGTGGGTGAGGGGAAAAAAGTTGTTCCTGTGCTCAATGTGTATTACACTTCTAAAAATTCAGTGTTTCAGTAGTAGGTTTACCAAAATTAGATTATTTTGGCCTATTATTTTACTGTCTCGCTCCAAATAGCACGGTACCAAAATTCTTCTTTCTCTTGTGGTATTGCTTCCTATGTTAGGATTACTTCTTTGAAAAATTATGAAAAGAGTGATAGGAAGAAGCCAACATACTGGAGAACGATTATACTTCCTCTGACAGTGTGCAAAGATGGCAGGACCAGAATCTTTCAGAACTTACTGTATTTAATTGCTTTAAAAGGCATTGTGAATACATTTTTAATAGGTGATGAAAGGTGAAGAGAACTGTCTATTGTTTTGATTTCAGATAGAAAATAGTCAAATATATCCTCTTCCCCTTTATTTTCAGTTAAGTTTTATATATCGTAGATTACAGTTTTGAATTCTTTAAAGCTGTTGACAAAAAGGAGTACTTTAAAGTATTCCTGAAAAGAATGCTTATGAAATTATTGATTTTCAGTACTATTAACTATCAGAAAACTTCCCCATATTTATTTCATAGAGCTTTTGGTTACATTTTAGAACAAACGAATTATTATGAGTTCACATGTCTCCTTCATATGGTAGTTAAAGGTCTCTCATAACATTTTTTTCTGCAGTTTAGCCCTGAGAACATTGAAAAGATATTAGGGTGTTCAGAAAGAAGAACTGCCCGATTTCTCTTCTTTATCGGGATTCCTTTATTGGATGACAAATTTAGTTAATGTAGCTGCCCTCAGAGCCAACCAGTTAACACTTTTATCTCCCAGATGCCTTTACCATGATTCAGTTTTAAACTAGTTTTGAAATTACTAGAAATTATTTGGAACAGTTTAAGCAAGATTATAATTGTCTTGAACCTGATACTGCTTTATTTTTTGTGTGTGTGCACTTTATAAGAATTCTCACAAAAATCGGACTGTTCGAATTGCTACGATGCAGTAGCATAAAATGCACCAGTTTAAGTGATGCACCAGTTTAAGTGACTTCCTGCCCAGAAATGGCTGCTGTTTTCTTTTAACCATGCCTAATGCCCTGATAGGGGGAAATAGAGGTGAAGAAGCAGTAGAACACGTTCATTTGCCTTAAGAGAAGCAAAGGGCATCTTATTGTTTACACAAGTGCCTTGTGATTTTTATTTTTATAAGTACACACTGCCCTCAGCTTGATTGTGTGCATCATGTCATTGGATGGTAAGGATACAAAAAGTGACCCAATAAGCAATTGGTGGTGTAGAACAAATAAGTCTTGGTCAATAGCTCATGGAGTTTGATGTGTTTATATTGATAAACTAATTAAACAGATCGGCCTGTGTTCCTCAAGCCTAATGTGCCCCTGTTATGATTAGTTTTATAGAAAGGATCATTTTAACATTGAATGAAGGTAAATGATAAAAGAACAGTGTAGTCACGAAGCCCTAAGTGCTTCCATTTCTAGTCACAGAGTGATTTCAAGGAAAGGAGGCTTTCTTTGCACACCTGCAGTCATTCAGTGGATAGGCCTCTTGTGGCCAATGTTGATTGCTGCTTGTCTCTAGCTGAACAACAAATAATTCAGGGTGGTGTAACCTTCTGTGATTTAATATTATGCCTTTTGCTAGAGTTGGCACAAAGATGCATCTTCTGATAGTGACAGTAATTATGGCACAGCTGTAGTTGAGAGTCTTTCAGAGTTTCCATTATAATCCCCAATAGTCAGTTTACAACTTAAATGTAAAAAATGTATTCAATGCTTACTTGACGTACAGTGGCCATGAGGGGGTGAAAGGAATTAAATTGAAAACTCCCTGCCAAATCATATTGAGGTATTCTTCGTCTTGAAGCATTGTGTCCTTTGTAATATGCTTATGAATGACTGCGTTTCTTGAATGCTCCTAATCAAGCAAAGGTGTATCTAATACCCTTTGCTTTTGTACAAGGCATAGGCAGAAGTGCTCTTTTAATCAAAGTTAAATAGTGTGAGTTACCGCCCTTCAGCTGGAAGTTGTATTCTTTCAGATGTATTTAAATAATTGAATGTCAGAGTGAAGGAAAATGGGCCTGCTGAAATTACTGGCAATTGCAGTTTAACCTAATCTATGTTGCTTTTATTAAGAATGGATTAGGATTGCTCAGGTGGTCACTTGCCGTGTTGCAATTTTTTCATAGAATCACAGAATGCTTAAGGTTGGAAGGGACCTCTAGAGATCATCTAGTCCAACCCCCCTGCACACGCAGGGTCACCTAGAGCACGTGGCACAGGACTGCGTCCAAGCGGGTTTGGAAGATCTCCAGAGAAGGAGACTCCACAACCTCTCTGAGCAACCTTTTAGGTTATTCAAATATCTGTGCACTAATACTTAGTGCAAAGCAGTACGCTATTACCTTTCATCTGACCATACCCTTAATTAGGTAATTTTACAGCATCTTAGGATGTTTTTTCTTGAAAGATTTACAGTAAGTCATAAGACATTTGAGAAGTCTCTTTTGATATTGCTAATCATGTGACTATTCCAGTGATATATTAATTCTTTCATTCCTTCAAAGAATAAAATATTAATGAAAATGTGCAAACTAGAGTTCAGTTTTATAGAATAGCATATTTTCTGATAATGTTTTCTATGTTTTATTTTCAGATTAAAAAGCTTGTTTATGTTTATCTGATGCGTTATGCAGAAGAGCAGCAAGATTTAGCTTTGTTGTCCATCAGTACTTTTCAGCGTGCTTTAAAGGCAAGTACCTTTTTAAATAATAGTATTTCATTGGGAATCCTGGGGTGATATCACAAAGATAAAAAGATCTGTGCAAATGCAATCTAGTAAACTAAAGCGTGTAGGTATTTGCATCTGGTAAAACAGCCTGAAGTTATCATGTCATTTACATGTTTTTTTCTTTTGTGCTGCTTCAAACCCCATGGAGCAGCTAAGGCTGCTTAAAGTGGAACTATTGCACTGCGAAATGCAGCTGTACATAGGATGGAGACCTAGTTATTACCATGAATCAGTTGTGTTTCTTCTAGTTTGTCTAAAAGATGCTTACATGTAACAGAAGTGGAAAATAAGGAAAATTTAAACATTAAAATATTCAGTGTGTTATGCATTTTACTTTTAATAAAAAAGAAAGTGGGAGGGAAATAGAGTTAGAGCATTAAAGCTAAAATTGCCTTTGAAGTCTGACTATAGATAGTTAAAAAGACTTATTAATTCTTGGCTCTTTAGTCTGACTTTTTTTTTTCTTTTTTTTTTAATAAAGTTTTCTTTTCTCCTGTGTCTTGTAAGGCTACTTCATATTTGTAATTAACTTTTGTTGTATCGCTGGTTCCAGACCTTACCTCTTGTCAGAGTGTGCTGAGGTCATCCCACAACTGACTAAAGCAATCTGCCTCTTTCCTTCTACCTTTTATTTCAGTGTCATATGTTCTACATGTTTGCCATCTGTGACTCATGAAAAGCTAAAATTCAACTGAACTTTTTAATTAGATTTATGTAAAGAGAACATGTTTGGTATAACTTTTAGGAAGATATGGATAGAAACAAACAGAGAGGGGTATCTCAAAGTTGTGACTGCAATTAACTCAAAAGTGGTGATGCAGCAGGGCAGCACAATCCAGGCTGGATGGAATTTTGGAGTGCCTAAGGAAATTTATTAAGCCAACCATAAAAGATAGCTGAATGTAGTTTGTTCTGTTCATTTTTGTACCATTATGCTTCCAACTTTGTAATGAATAATATAACACAGAGCTTTCTGTTTTCTGTGGGGTTCTCCTAATGAACTTGTTGGAGTCCAAAAAAAAAAAACACAAAACAAACAAACAAAAAACCTAAAATGTAGTGTGATTAGAGATGCACTTTGGCAATATTGTGAATGTGAGACTGTTTTCCAAACAACAGTGAAATTAAGTGCTTTCACCCTCCAGATAGGTAGTTGCTTTCAGAAAGTTGCTAAACATGATGAATTTTGAGAGTGCTTTATTAGTCACTGCATACACACACACACACACACACATACACACATGTCCCACTGTGTGTCCCAAGCATATGAGCCTTATAAAGGGAGGCAGAAAACTGAGAGCAAAGAAAGATCAAAACATTAAGCTTAAGACTCTTGCTTGTTCTTAAAAAAATTCCATTTTGATACTAACTTTAGATCATGTTTTGCAGTAAAGATCAAAATGGATGTGTACTTTGGAAGAAGTTGAGTAGGAGTTTCACAACAGGGAAGGATAGGCAAAACTGCTAATTAACTTATTTAAAATTGAGGCAAGTGTGCCTTTCAGAATATCTGAACCTACTTGGATTGCAGAAAATATTTCATATTGTTAAATAAAATATTAGTCTTTCCTAGTAAAATATTAGTCTTTCCTAGTCCATCATTTTCATATAAGTGCACTGTGTTAATTCTTTTCTTTGTTAGGTTTTCATAAGGTTTGCTGCTTCCCCTCCCCTTCCCTGCCTCTGACCCAGTTGTGAAACTTTGTGTGAAGTTTGGCATGGTTTCCTGTTTTTGTGGCCTTAAGCTGAAAGCTTTACTCATAATAAAAAGGTGATTTTAATGCGCTTTAATTAGTGTAAACACTATAGAGGATTTAATGATGCATTTCCACAATGTCTTATCTTTTTTCTACCTTCTCTCACATTTTTTTAGGATCCTAATCAGTTAATACGTGCAAGTGCTTTAAGAGTTTTATCCAGTATCCGTGTGCCAATTATTGTTCCTATTATGATGCTTGCTATTAAAGAGGCTTCATCGGATTTATCTCCCTATGTGAGGAAAAATGCAGCCCATGCAATCCAAAAACTATACAGGTAAGTAATTCTCACGTGTTGAGAATTATGCAGTAAATATTGGGCAAATTAGTATAAGGATAATAAAATGACACCCTTAATAGATAGTTTCTTTTTTCTTTGCACTGTTCAGTAGCAAGTTCTGTGGCCAGATTTTGTTGTTTATGGCACAAAATATACGAAGTGGAAAAAATTAAGGTACTGAGGGGAAGGGTGCAGAGCGGATTGGCCCTTTTGGTTACGGCCAGTGTTTGTTGCATTAAAGTAGCTTGGAAAGTGAAGACTTGGAAATAGTGGACTGGATTCTTAGTTTAATAGTAGGCCTTGAGTTGGTTTAGTTTGAGTTCAGTTTCTCCAACATAACGCCAATTCTGGGGTTTCATTTTAGTTCAGTGTATTTTATTAACAGCACATCGTTTAAACCCTGCAAGGGCCAAATATGATTTTGTTGAAATATTCTGAAGCTACTTTTGTTGGTCTTCTCTTCTGCTTTATATTTCCAGAACAGATAGGTTCTGTTTAGCAACTTGTGCTTGATACAATCCGCAGATTACTTATCTGCAGTGATCAGGTGTAGGTTAATGTCAGACAAGCACACTGGCAAGCAGCATGTTTACACCTGAACTGCTACTTTTATCCCCTTATCCCTCTCTTCTTTATGCTTGCTTCTCCCCAAATCATCCTGATTCCTATCTTTTCTTGCCTTTAGTTCCTTCTCATAATATCTCATAATCTTGTACAATTCTGTAATAGATCTTATAGATAGTAACAGTTCAGTCTGAAAGATTCTCTTGAGAGCTTTTTCTGTCACCTCCCTGTGATGGGTGTCTCCTGTGGCTGGCCAGGCTGGAGGCTCTGCTGGTACAGCCCTGGGAAGAGCCAGGGCAGAGGCTCACTTTCTCTCCCTCTGTCACTGGAGCTCCTCCGCCTGTCACTTCCTTAGGTATTCCTTTGTGTGAGTGGAGATGGACCTCTTACAAGTTTATCACTATCACACAATGCCCCAATGATTATCTGCATTCTCCCATTTGCCTTTATTCCCCTGTGCTCCTCTATGCGCGTGTGAAGGCTAGGCCTTTTATCACTTAAATGCCGCTTCCATTGTCAGGTTACATTTCTTTTTGCTATTTGATTAACTTTTTGTTAGCAGTTGATTGAAAGATATTTCCAGCACATACAAAAATTTTGTCCTGAACTATTTATTATTTTTATTTATTTATTATTTTTCTTCAAAAATAGCAAAAGGATTTGGAAGAGTTTCGCAGTACTGAGTCTGTGACAACAGCAGTTTTTCTGAATCTGAACAATAGGATATTTTGCGGAATTTGATTTAAGCTAATGCATGTTCTATGTCTTTGCTTCATCATAGACCAAGATATATTTTCCTAGTCCAAACTAACGAGTTCATTGGTGTAAAATAGGAAGATGCTGAAATCTGGCTTCTTAAAAGACCATTTATCTGTGTTTCATCCAATCATCCAAATGGGATTGCATCTTTGACCACCTTGATCTCTGTCTGTGGGGTTCGCATATCGCACTTACGTGATATCAGCCGCCAGATTTTTGCAAACATTCTTGAAAATATCTAAGGTAAAAACTTTATCCCCAGCAGCAGATCCTGTAGAGCCTGGGCACACTCCCTTCTAGTTCCTATGTCCCCTGACAGTAAAAAGGACTTGTCTAGCATAGTAATTCCTGTCTGTTTTGCCTTGCTAATGAAAGTAGTGTCATATAAAGGTACTCTTAATGGTTTTGAGGACCTGTCCATCATTCATAAGAGGTCTCACTTCATGCAAACCTCCTAGGCATCATAACATGAGTTTCAAACTCTTGTAATTTCAATCTGTGTCTTACCTGGACTAGAGTTTACTTCATTGTTAGCTGAGAGTAGATCCGTAACTTTTAACAGAAGTGAGTTATTGGTTATAGGATTTGGGAAGTGCTTGCAGAAAGCATGTGACCTCTTACTGTCATTTATTCAAAATTTACTCATACAAACATCTCATCCTGTAGTATTGGTTTACCACAGGAATGGAGAGAAAGTACAGTTTTCTGGATTATGTGAAGAAGCAACAGAGCTAATGAAAGAGGCTGTCAAAGTAAGCTGTCCATAGGCAGGAGGAGTTGACTTGCCTGCAAACACGTCTCTAACTGGCAATCTTGGCAAACTTTTCTCCAGGGATTGCAACTCGTAGCTCAACAATTCAGTGATAAAAATTATATACTGTTGTCACAGTCATTTTTTGGCCCATTTGTAATGAGCAAGAAATATCCAAAGGCACTCTCTATAGATTGTCAGAATTGGGATTCTGCAAGGGAAGAATTTCTGATTTGAAGATCAGTCAACAGTTTATGTATTCCCCCATGTACTTTTAGCCCATCCTCTGAAAGAGTTTGAGCAAGAAAAAGTAACAGTTTATTCTAATAAAGCACAGTGCCTGTGTGCTCCTTTTACTACTGTGTTTCCATAACTTCTCTCCCTGTTTGATAGTTCTGTAGTTCATTTGCTGCTCCAGTAAGATTTCTTGATGTAACTTCAATACTCCAATCATCCTTGTGTTCAGTGTTGTGGTATTTGAATGGATGTCTGACCTAAAAGAGCTTGTCCATTAGTGGCTCAATCAGTCCTAACAGCTTGAAGGTTACATGGCCAAACAGAAAAGATTTCAGGCATAGTGTGAACGACAACATTTGTGCTCAATGGAATCAACATTACCAGGTACATTGGAGTAATTTTATCATTGAAAATGTCAGGTCTCCTGCTAATTTCACTTAAAGTGCACTCCAAAGATATTAGTATCTTCTGTCTATCAGTAGAGGACTCTGCTATGTCCTTGAACTTAATCACAGCAAAATTTGGAAACATGACTTTTTAGAAGTCTGGTCGTTGCTGTTGATAAATACTGTAGTATTACTAACAGATGCCATAATGGGACCAGAATCACTTGGAGCTCCTTGTTCTGCCTTTTTTTTTTTCTCTCTCCTCCAAAAATTCTGCCTTTCTTATCTAAAACATCAGCAAAGAGGAGATAGAGAAGTGTGGAAATTAAGAGCTCTTACTGAAGATTTTCTTGACATCTCTTCCAAATTCTTTACTTAGTATTTTGGTTGGTGGTGGTGTGTGTGTGTGTGCCTTTTTTCCCTCTCTCTCTTTTTTTTTTTTCAGTTTATCTCATAGGGAGAAGTTTTTAAGATTTAAAGAAAGTGATAGGTAAAATGGATATAAAATTGAAAGTAAGGCATGTTAGACTTGACTTTTCCTCTAGAGGTTGGTCCCTTGCAGAAGATCAGTGACATTTGTGGCAAAAACAGAAGTTGAAATAAGAGGACATTATGAAAGTACCTAAGGAACTATGTGCTGGTGCTTTGCATGTGCCAGTGGTAGTTGTTTCTAACAAAGTTTTACCTTTCCATTTAGCATGCTCTAGTATTACTGGGCATCAGAGCTTTAACAAAGTAGTGTTCAGCTGCATAGTCACTTTGTGAGTCTGCAGGTGGAAGTGATGTATTATGCATCAGGGCAGCTCATCACTCCCTATTAAAAGTGAAGTGCAGGATACTGACCAAATGCTTCCTTACTTACTTGTAACAATATCTACAATGAAATGAGTTTTCAAATATGTAAAACTGCTTATCTATATAAATGACTTTTTGAATGTACTCTGTGTTTTCTTTTCTGCTTTTGCCTTGGGTTTTCCCATGTTCTATAGAGCCGTGATGAAGCAGCAGCTGGAATGGCAGTTGGTCCTTACATACTCCTTGTGTCTTTGTAAAGGTAGACAAGAAAGCTAAGAAGCAAGTCTTACAGAATCACAGAGTGGTTGAGGTTGGAAGGACCTCTAGAGATCATCTAGTCCAACCCCCCTGCTTCAGCAGGGACATCTAGAGCACGTGACACAGGAGTAATGGATGCTTCTGACAGTTTTCTCTGCTCTCCTGTTTTAACGTCTTGGTTTGCTGGTTATATAGGACTTGAAATAGTCTATGTTTTTCTTCAACTTACACACCAACTTGGTATATACACACTTGAATACAAGTGTGTATATGAGCGTTCTAGTGCTTCTGTCTAGACTAGTAACCTTAACAAAGTACCTTAGCTGTGGCTTTTTATCAGTAATTAGATACTACAGGTAAAATTCTGTGCTGTCCTTTGAATTTTCTCTCTGAAGTTCCCTTCAGTTGGAAGGGAACATGGATGAAAGCAATGAGGTCCTTGTAACTTAACATCTGAAGCTTAGGCGAGGCAGCAGCGTGGGGTATTTTTTTTTTTCTTCTTCTGATGGGTTAGCCCCTGTTAAAATCTTAAAAAGTTTGTAGAATTCTTAAGCATTAGGATTCTTATTAGAATTCTTATATTTATGTTCTTATATACCTTTATGTTACTTCATTTCTAGAATCCCTGATTAATTTTTATTCAGTGAAATTCTTCTAGTATCAGTTATTGGGCATACTTGATTTTACTGAAAGTGGCTTCTTTAGCTTTCTTGGTTTCCAGCTTGTGTCTAGAGGTCAACAAACCTTGACTCTTAATATCTGTTGTATCTGACCAAATATGTAAATGGAATGTTGAAAGAAGTTAATAAATTTTCCTTTATTTTTTCATTCTAGTCTTGATCCAGAGCAAAAGGACATGTTAATTGAAGTGATAGAAAAGCTTTTGAAGGATAGAAGTACGGTAAGTGACAAAAGTTGCTAGACCATAATTTTAGAGTTACACTAGGAGTTCTCATTCAACTGGATGTGATATACTTGCGTAGCCCTTCCTAATATGCTTCTAAATAGATCTGTTGTGATTTATTTATGTGTTGTACTATGGATGCAGTGTTGATTGTCTGCTTTAATAGTACTGGTAATTTTTCATGTGTCATAGGGTTTTGTTCTTAATATATTTTCCTTTTGCAGGCTTTTTTAAGCTTAACTTTTATACTGAAAACTCTATGGTCATATGAATCAGTGTATAGGTGTGTTCATATAAACATTTAAAAATAGCTGGATCATTTCTGTTTGGTTATGACATTGTAAGAATAAATTACATCTGTACAGTGCATAGCATTCTCATTGGCATTGGTCGACCTCATAGTATGGGTCACTGTTAACCCATGGTAGTGGAGGTGCACGCGCTTGTTCTTGCAAATTTTACTGCATTCAATCTGGTAGGTCCTATAAATTAATGTCCAATGACAATTATTGTAGATGTAGTACTCCTGTTATGTTTTTCCTCCCTAGTATAATAATGGGGTTTCCATAAATTCATGTGAACTCTTGAATGTCTCACAATGATCAGAAATTCAGAATCAAGTATTTTTCTTTGTGTATCAACTGTGAGCAAATTCTACAAGTCTAAATCAAAAATGTGATTGAGCAATGAGTCAAAGACTTCAGATAGAAAACAGAGTTGGAATTGAAACATTTCTCATGTTCTTGTTTAAATGACTAATTCTATCAATGTAGTGCTTTTGGATTAAATGGAACTATTACTTGGTATCAAGTGGTGTGTTGATTCATGTACTGTTAGCCTGTGGTTTCTTTATAATATCCAGGAATATATCTTCTGTTGTTCTGGTAGAGTCCAGGTGTCCAGTAAATAAGTGGTGTTGTTCCCTAATAGACATCTAGCAGCTTCCACTGAAGAGTTGCTGAAGGAGAGTGTCAGAGCTTAATGGCTCAGCAGACAGTAAATCAGTTAGTTACCTCTCCTGGCCGCATCTATGCTTGACCTGTGCTCATTTGTCAGAGGCCCTTATGCTTCCATGGGGTTGCCCCCCAGTGGTTCTTTGTGTATTTTCTTTCGGTGGTTCATGCTCTTGGGGTGCGTGCAATCTGTGAATGTGCGACTCAATTCTCTTTACCTGCAGAGGCATAACAGACTGAGAAGTTATCTCTGTTTCTTTCCATTGTGGAGCGCAGGAAAATGAATTTCTTGCATTTTCCTTCTGTTTTCTAGTCCTCATGACTTAATAAGTGATGAGCTGTTGGGTAATTTGTCATGTGCTTTAACAAAAAGTTATTGAGAAAACATGTATACGGATATAGGTCTTCCTTTTGCTAGCAGCCTGCTCCTGGCCCTTGGATATATTTGCAAGCTTAATGCTCACTGCTAAGTAAACACTACAATTCTGGTGCTCCTGTGCTCCTGAATAATGGACCTAGGACACAGTATTTATAAAGACAGCAGTTGAAGCAATAGTCAAGGCTCTGCTGTTTTCTGAAAAGGTCCAGGAAAAAAAAAGCTGCCTTGGAGACATGATATGGAAACTGCTGCCCTTTTTTCTTCTCTGATTCCTCTTGGTCTGTACTCCAGCAGGGCCTGGTTCTAGGCTGGGCTGAGACACCTCGGCCTCAGAAATTCTGCTTTTAAAGAAGCAGTTGTTATGCCAGAAGGAAACAGTGCAATTTGTTTCTAGGATTCCCTGAATTGAAGAGAAAAAAAAAAAAGTGTTCTTTTACCCCAAAGTTTGTCATGATCTAAAATGAATCTGTTTGTTTAACCATTGATAGTTTGTCTTTAGGAGGAACAGTTGAGCACAGAAAAGTTCCAGGTGAAGTAGCCTTCTTCTGCTGTGCTCCAGTGATGTTCCACAAAAGTCTCAATCAAAAACGTTGTTTCAATCAATAATAAATTTTAATATAAGCTGAGGTAACAAAGCTTACAATGAAATAAGTGCAAAACCTTAGCCCAAGATTTTGTTATAATTTCCAGTCAGAAAGATCATCTACTCTTAACACAAAGATTCAGCTGGAATCCAAGATTTCAGTTAATGTAAGATGCAAGAAGTACCAAGAGAAAACCTTTCGTGAACATATCCCCAAGAGGGGCTATTTGCAATTCTGTGTCAGTGTGTTTGGTTTGTAACAGATCCAGAATTCCACACTAGTTGCATTATAGTGACTTCAGAAGCTCTAATTAGGTTTGTGCCTTTGCTTTATACAAGAAGTACCTGAGACTTTGATAAGCAAACGAACTGGACTGAGTGCTTGATTCTTTTATTCTCCATGTGATTCTAGATAATTGAGGAAATTATGTTATTACATGCAGAAAAGAACACATTTGAGAAAGGGTGTGTAGAAAGGAAGGTATTTTAGGGTAAACTAATTCTGGAGGAGGAGGAAGGGCAGGTGCTTGTTTTCTATATCACTTATCACTTTAATTCTCCTATTTTTTCTTTCCATTCACTTTGCAAGCTTGATCTTTCAACTTTAGGGTACGGTATTTGAGGAAAGTTGTGTTGCTTTTTGTCGTGTGTATGATATTATATTGATCACCTTCATATTTAACCTCTATCATTATGCAAGCAACAATAAAAAAACAAGTGCATTCATCATGTCTATATGCAAAATGATACAGCATTGGAAAAAAAAACAAAAAAAAACCAAAAAGTAGTAGTAAATTTTCCGTGATAGTGTTTAGTGGGATTCTTGTGTATTGTCTGGACCTGGAAGAAAAAAAAAAAAAAACTTCTGATCTGCATTTGTTGGTTCAAACTTAAGTATTTCAAGTTGAGTATCTAAAGCTGCACTTTATTTATTTTACTATATGACTTTCAGTCTCAGTATTTTGTTTTTAAATGGGAATACTACAAGGGATATTAACATTTAAAAAGCACTACTTTGAGTCTTGATTTAAATACGATTTTGTAAATATATTATGTTTTCTGTAGACTATTACAGTAATTTTAAGGCTGTACGTTGAAAGACTGATGAATGATAATTCCTTTTGATGAGAATGTAACTGTGATCCTGTGATTTCAGCTATTTACTTGTAATTGTTACTTAGTATATCTATTTTTTTATCCAAACACATACTTAAATATTTTTGCAGGATTGAGACTGAGGTTAGTAATTTATGTAATGGAGTATTTTTAAAATGAAAAGCATAATTTGTAAATTGTGCAGTGAGTTAGACTAACCTTAACTGTTCTTACCTCAGTTGATGGTTGATTTGTGTACTTTAAAATATTGTGTTCATGTTACAGAATTGTTTTGAATTGCCAAAATAAGCAAAAAAAATGAAGCTGTTAGTTCACATGTTCTTACTTTATTAGATTAATGCTTTAATGTTTGCATTAGATGAGAAATGAGAAAACACTTAATTCAAAAAAGAGATTGGAAATTTTTATTTCCTGTTACAGAAATTATATAAAATTGTATAGTCTTCACTTGTTGCCATTACACCTAGTAATTTCAAGGTCTTTATATAAGCACTATAGTGAAATTATAGTAGGAAAATAAATGCATTTTAAAACACAAATTTAATTTTCTGTCTTTTTCATAAACGGTCAGAAGTTGCATGCTAATATTTAAAGGCTTTATTTAGATTAAATTGGGAATTAAAAATATATATATTTTACATGGACTCATCCCAGATTTTTGTTGAAACAAACAAAACACTATACTGCATTTTTTGTCAATTAGTTGTATGATGAACCCTACTCCAATCCAAATATTGTACATTCTTGTTTTTCTCCTTCCTCCTCCAGCTTTCTTAGACTTAAAAAAAAAAAAAAAAAAAAGGGGGGGGGCATGTGGAGTGTGGTGGAAACAACAATCTAAAATGAAGAGTATATCAGCATCTTATGTTTAGCTCCAGAAGAGCTGCGTACTTATTCTATAATGACACTGCATGATAAATGTATAAATAGTTTTGCTATCATTTTGCTTTTGTATGTGTGTGTTAACGTTGTTGTTTGGTCTGCGTATGGGTATTGGATCTATTTATAAATGTCCAAATTTGTTGCTGTTTTCCATTGTCTTCAGCTCTGAACTGATCTTTTTTTTTTTTTTTTTTTGAACAAATGCTTATGGAAGGCTTATGATGCTTGTGTGATAATCTTATATCATGTAATTTATGTATTCATGAGTCTTGTTCTTTTTGTCACCAAGAACGGGTGATGAAATAATCACCACAATTTTGCAGTATATCCTAAGATGTTGCTATTCTAGCCCTTTCTTGGGGCCATACAGTGCTATGGAGTCCCAAACTCCTTGAAGAAAGAGAACCAGTTAGTCAGAACTGCAGATGTTCATCAGATCCCAAGTTTGAACTCCTGATGTCACATTCTCAGAAAACTATGAAGAAATATTTGATGGGGTAGAGGCAGATTTGGGATGGAGTCTAGATAGCGATTTGAATTACTACATGACATTGATTTATTGTTCCTGAAGACTTGTACTGCATTTTCTGAGGGCTTAAGTTTCCTTTAACCCCTATTAAAACATTTTCCTGGTTAATGAGAATGACCTAATCACATTAAATTAATCTTAATATCTTTGATGTGAAAATTTGCTCTGAGATATACCCAAACTTGCTCCTAAATGTAATAAATACAATTTAGTAACAATACAAGCTCAATACAATGAGGAACAGATTCCTGGGAAGTCATACTTCTAACATTAAAAAATGATCCTAGGAATTGGTGATGGCTTGTCAATGAGAGTCTTGACCTCTTAAACTAAAGCAGTGCCTTTGGGGATTATAGGAAGAGAAAGCAGGGCCCTTCACTTTTCAACAGTGGGCTTCTGTTAGTGAGTTAATGTTTTTGTTCAGAGCTAAAATGATTGGCTAAGTCGGTGTTTTCATAACTTATTGATTTAATGTTGGTAAAAGCCTTACTTTTGTGAAAAAAAATAGCTAAGTTTGTGCAGATGTTTTATTGTGATAGATCTATTATCCAGCTATTAGAAGATAAATGACTGATCTTTTCCAGTTTCCTTGCTTTCAGAAAATTGAAATAAGAAGGGGAATATCATTTGGGCTGTATGATTAGGGCAGGTGGGATGGCCATTAATTTAAGAGAGAGGAAGCTTAGCAGCATAGGCCAACTTGCACTATATTATCAATCAAACCTCAATGCACTTCTTGTGATGACCCAGCACTCTCAGGTTTTTGCAGCGTTAATTAGAATTCATGACAAAATAGATGCAAGGAAACGTTTCGTACCCTTCATAATTTTATAGAAAATTTATTGTTATTAGAGGAACCATTTGCTTAGTGTGATTTTTTTCATTACCAGCTTGTCAACTAGCATAGATAATCTGGAGAAAATATGAACCCCATAGATTGGGTGTCAGTTTTGTTGATGGTTCATGTAGTTTACCTTGGAGCACAGCTAATGGCTGAAGTTCATAGCAACAGCACAGAAAAATGTGGTAACCAGCGGAAGACAAATGAACCATGTTTATTGCTTTAATATAAAAAATACATAAATGGAAAGCAGCATTTGAATTTGATGAGCTCATTGCTGGCTTTGTTAGAGTGATTTATATTTTCTCCTTATATAAAAAGCTACTATTGACACAGTGAGATGGAAATTAACTGACTGTTTTTTGGAAACCAATATTTTTTGGTTTTATATTCTGATTGGATCATTTTGTTTTAATTCCAAATATTTTTATGGAATGTTGAGCATTTAATAAACAAAGATTATTAGCTGTTTCTTTGATGTTTAGATGTATAGTAGGATTGTAGTATAAGAGAAGCAGTGTCAACTGTAAAAATAACCTTTTATTATTAAATTTTCTTAGAGGGATCCTTTTGTTACCAATGTACTTTGAATCTGTTCTATATTCTTCCATTTTCTTCCCTTAGAATGAAAAGTTTAGTTTTGGAAAATGCAGTAATGGGGAGAGGGACGTGATCCTAAGCTGTGTGGTGATGTATGGCAATTACTGAATAACTCATAAATCTAGGTGTTTGCCCCGGAAATAAAAGATAGTCATAAAAACTCAAACGTGTAACAAAATGCAAGAAGTACGTGGGATAATCAAAACCTACATGTTCCATTTTGGAAAAGTTGATCCAAAGTGGCAGCACGCACTTTGTAAACCTGAGTAGTTGACCAATGTGAATTGATATACATAACAGAAGCATATATATTGAAATCTTGGTATTTAAGTATGACTGAAATGCTTTTTATCAAACTGTATTTTACTACAGTAATTGAACTTTTAAAAAGCCAGTGCTGTTCATGTGAGATGATTCGGGCTGTTTTTTGCTCGCTGCTGTTGCTCCAACTGTTGCAGAAACACGACACATGCTAGCTGCTTGTCCCGCTGTGATTTAAATAGGGGCTGTTGGATCTGTGGCTTTGCAGACTAAGTAGGCTGCAGTTGCTGACTATAAAATACTCATTGCTGTCTGAGAGAGAATTAGTGTTTGCTCAGTCTTTTAGTGAGTCAGCACAGATGAAATTGTTTTAGGAGTATATTTTCATTCCCATTCTATGGAAAGTGTTCACAATTTGAAAAGAAATTGAAATAATGTTTAATGTATTGTTCTATTATGTCAGTTTCAAGCTATATCATTTCTAAATAAAAGAAAAATACAACATTTCTACAGTACTTGTAGTAATAGAGGACCAAGGTATCTACTCCAGAACTTAAGTGGAGTACCAGCATCTGTATTGTCCTTCACCTTTGAGCCTAACTAGGTATTTTAAAATACAAGGATGAGGCTACTTTTTGATTCTAAATCAGTCTGCATGAGTGTGTGTCTCACTTCTCTCTCCTCTTTTCTCCACCACTCTTCTGTGTGTGTCTCTTTTACCCGCCATCTCCCCTTTTCTCCTACTCGCCTCCCCTCACATTTAAAACCTGTAAAATGAGCTTATGCCATGTGTTAGGTGTGGAATAGCTGTAACAGTCTTTGGGACTGTTAGAACACGAGTCCCTGGTCTCAAAATGTTTATCCCTTTCTTCTAAATAGCACCCACTAGACTGCCTTCTGCAAGTTGGCTTGAACTGTAGGTCAAAGTTTTACATCCTGATGATGTTGCTGTTTGGGAGGGAAAAGTTTTACACTGGGACTCGCTTTCCCCTCCTCAGCTTCTCTAGCCTGAGTGACTGCTCAGACCTGGGAGTGATGTTCCAGGAGTTAGCTGCTCTGTTGTGCTTTGGACCAGTCAGATTCCCCATCTAAACATAAACAGAGAGCAGTTTTAAATTGTATAGTAACTTAATCATGTGATTGCTAGGAGGAAATACTAGTGCAACAGAAATTAGTGCAAAGAACTTTTCTTTTTGTGATGCAGCCAAAAATAGGAAATTACTTTGGGTTGTGAAGTGTGTTTTATTTAGCTGTCTTAAAATCTCTGCTGCCTGGAATGATTGCATACTTGCTGGGACCAGCAGGTACCAGTATGTGGATGGGGCCAGATACAATAAATGCAACTTCACGTTTATTGTTATTGGGAATTCATAAAATCCCCACAGAGCCTGAAACTTGTTTAGCATAATAGCAAGACTATATTCTGAGCTGTTTTCTTTCAATTGTAATGTTGGGTGCATACTAATAAACCAAATGTCAGCCAAATACAGTGGGAGAAAAACATAACATATGGATATCATTGTATTTAATATTTCTCAAAAAGTACCATTTCAATAAACTGCATTTCTATTTAATTGCTTACTTTGAGTCATTGGGGAAATTCTAGAGGTTGAAATGCAGATCCCTAGTGGTTAGATAAAATATGACATTAATTTGCTGCCAGAAGACTATACTGCATGCATGCCAAATGCATACATATCAGCCGCTTCATATAAAGTCTTATCATGTAAGTTATTTGACTTAACATGTACTTTGACACAAACCAAATCTTAATTAAGGCAATTAGGGGAGGGAGAATGGTAATTCCAGGCACAAAATGATATGTCTTTATAATGAGTGGTCAGCTCTTGAAGCTTTCCCACACTTAAACTGTTCTCAGTGAGTTGCTTTAACAGATACCCCTATAAAGGTTTGTGTGTGAATTCTGAGAATTTATTTTACCTTTTCATGAAAGCAAAGCTTTTTTTTTTTATGAGCAGTCTGTATGAGGCTTTGTGTGTGTGTGTGTGTATGTATAAGTGTATAATACATATATAAGTCTTTAGGAGGAAAAAAGTGGGAATGTAAACCAGGACAAAATTGATCAGTTTCCCTAACTGTAAAATGAATAGAAAAGTGCTTTACAGCACACAGAAATTCTGCTTGTGATCTTTGAGGGAAAAGTATAAAAATATCACTACACTGTATTGCTGAATTTTATGCCTTTTTGTGAAAAGTGTTTTCATGAAATTCTGAAGACAAAATTTCATCTGACAGTTAATTTAGCCATATCAAGAGAGAAGTTTGGATTCCAGTAGTTCTGGGAAATTTACCCTTGACTCCTTTTCAGTTTGATCAAACCAATGTTAGTGAGGGGTCCCAACAGACCTTGTCAGGCACATTGCTGCATTATACTTGTTTCCTGTTATTGCTAATTTAATTGAAAGTTCTCTGAAAATTTATTTGGAATCTATAACTGTGCAAAGAATAATTTTTATGCTTACATTATGTTGTGTGTTCAGGGCTGGGAGCTAAGATTTAAGTGTGTAATAGAACAAAGCAAATATTTACTGTTTCTAATGAATTTACCCCAAATCTATTTTGCATAAGATAACATGTCTGTGGGCTTAGGGAAATCTTTCCCTTTCTCTTTACCATCTCCAAAATAAAATCAATTTGACATTCCACATATCTTACAATACTGAGAATTGCTGGTATTAATTCTGAAGATCACTTGTCGGATGATATGTAGAATGAATACTTACCTTCTAATTTACATTTTGTTTTTTAGCTGGTAGCTGGGAGTGTTGTGATGGCATTTGAGGAAGTGTGTCCAGATAGAATAGACTTGATCCACAAGAACTACCGAAAGCTGTGTACCTTGTTGGTTGATGTGGAGGAATGGGGTCAAGTTGTTATTATCCACATGCTAACTCGATATGCGCGTACACAGTTTGTGAGCCCATGGAAGAAGGTAAGTGTGTGACTGTCAATTATTTTTTTGCTTTGTGCACACATTCTGAACTATTTTCATTGTCAGATGTTTCTCCTCTGTTTCTTACATGGTTCTTTTGCAAGCTGTATGTGACTCAGCATTGGAAAGATTTACTTTTCTGTTCTAAAACTGGATAGAATCTATTTGACCTCTTCCAGGCTTTAAATTTCTAAACCATATTATCATTACAGATATGAATACCTGATATTGTAGCATACCAAGCAATATCAAAGTGGAGACAAGTGACTTAGTATGCTGAGGGACCATTTAGAGCGCTGCATATCGTCTGTGAAATGACCAGTGCAAGAAATTTGCGATATTCTCATCTTTATTATGAATGAGATGATCCCAGAGCGATGCAGAAAGTCTCATAATTTGTTTTTCACCTGAATTTTTCTAGACTGAAATTGTCCTGCTTTAGCTTAGTGAATGTGCCGTAGTACTTGTGTTCAGGCATTTTTATCTCAGTTGTTGAGCTTTGTGACTAGAACAAATTACAACAGAGTAACTGTGTAAACGTTTTTTGGTTTTGTTTGCTTTTGGTAAGTGTTAGAATACAGAATGAACTGTGCTGAATTTCAGCAAATTCCTTCCAGCACTGCCATTTTATACCTTTTGTCTGGGACTGGAACTTAAAGGCAGGGGCACTTGATATTGGCAGGTGTATAATATATTAGGTGACAATCGTAAGTCGGTATATTTGGACAAACCACTAATTTCAGTCAGGCTTAGCTTTGTTTCCTTCATCTTAAATAAACAAGGAGTATAATATGCTTTAAGATTAGAAAGATAGAAGTGTAGCAAGAATCTCTAATGTGGAGTTAATTTTACACTACTCTTTGGGTTATGGAACTCCCTTTTTTCATGTTAAAGTAATTTTTTTTTGAGAGTACATCTTTCCATAAAATTCCTTAAAATAAGCAAAATCTCTTTAGTTAATGAAGCACCTGGATAATATGTTTTCCTAAAGTGCTTGAGACAGAACATTTATTACAGGTTGCTCCCTGGAAGAAAATAACTTGCATTTTTAACTCCCAGAACTTGCTTTAAAAAAGCGGGGGAAGAGGGAATTGAAATTAATATCAAATAGCCATTTTACCAAGGGATAAATCTATGCAATTGGTTTAAAACAGTTTCGGGTTGAGATTGGAGGAAAGAAGAGTAGAAAGAGGGGGTGATGTACCACATTGAACAGATTTGGGAGATCTTGATGGGATTAGGCCTCTTAAAGACTGAGGCGTACTCTTTGAATTGAAACCGAATAGGTGACAATTATTACCGTGGCTTATGCTATAGGAAATTAGAAGGTTCACGTAAAATATTGGCTGTCAGGCTCCTGCCCGTGTCAACCTAAAATTTGTTCATTAGTAGTATACCATTAATAATACTTGGTTTCCACTTTTACGAGCTTTGGTGCAAAATTTAGTTTGTCTACCTACTCAGCAATTAAATTAGCAGAAATATATTTTTTTTCTGGGGCTAGTTGAAAAGCATGCTTTTGTCAGTATATTCTTAAATGAATACATCATACAAGAGGGCGTCTTGTGTAGAAGAGATTTTTAATTTACTTTATTTGCATCATTATGGATCAGTATTTAGGCTGTTTATATGTAAATGTATGATTTGAGGAACAATTAAGTGTTGACAAAGTAGATTGCAGGCATATCAATTGCAGTACATTTTCCATAATTTTTCTAACTGACATCTTTGATGATAAATAGTGGATGCCAAGTCAAAGCCGATTATACAGTGCACTAGGAATTCATGGTGCTGTCAGGGAGAAGACCGATTGACTTTAAATTTACATATTAATGAGAAGATTTGTTAAGGGGGTGCTTGACTATAGAAAATAACAGCATATTTATAGGGCACGACATTTTATAAATAAAGCTGATGCAGGAAAATGGAAATTAAACCTATCAGATTAATAAATTCAAGACTGCTAAAATGCATATTTGCATTTTTATTTACTAAAATTTACCTTACTTCTTGAGAAGTGTACACTGCTATTGTTCAAGTTGAGCTAACTTACAGCAAATAATGTTTTAATGGTTTGGACTTGTTTCTTCTGCCCTTAGAAATCTAAACAAATGTTTAGGAAACTAGTCTGTTATGAAGAAAAATCCTTTCCTGAGCAATATGTTTAAAACTGTTGTACAAGTCTAATGGAGTTATCCATTATATAAGAAAATCTATTTGTATTTTTTAACTTCCGTGGGTAGTATTTCCAATTCTGATGATGAACACTGATGAAGAATGTCCTTTTTTTATTAATCCTGGAATATTTGGACTCCTTTGAAGCAGTTAGTTGTGAATATCAGTTTCTGAAAAGCTTTGCTTCCCATCAGTTGTGTCCGCTGGTAACATCTATTAAACCAAGTCAGTCATATTCTGGACTGACAATATCTGTTCAGAACTAATTGGGAGCAACAATATAAACAATTTTCTAGGCAGTGATACTTACCTGATGGCAGATAATATTGTAATGTGATCCAACTTAAATGTTTTGCCCTACCATTTTCTTAAAAATTATTAGGTCAGCCAAGCAGTGCGCAAACAGCTCCTGAACATTTAGAGCTTATGAAATAAGCTCATGAAAGTTGCGTTGATTTGCAGGAATGTCAGGCTGCAGCCCAGCAGCAGTTCACAAGCTGTTCACCCATCCCTATTTCAGCAGCAATAGGCTTTGTAGACAAGGATAGTAGGAGGCAGGGCCTGCATGTGCATCCCTGCATGTGCATCCCAGGGCATCCCATGTGCATCATCATCACAGAGCACAGAAGAGTTGGGAGCCCTAGTTGTACGAAAAAAACCCACTAACTTTTAGGTCAAAAGCAGTCAGCACATCTTCAGTTTCTATTGAGCTGTCCTCTTCGAATGCAGGTATGAAACCACATGCACAAATAAATTTACATTAGCCTGGTTTGACTGATAAGATCAGAAGAGTGCAATTTAGAGAAGTTAGTAAATGGTGAAGGTAGGTGTGATGCTGCTTACTGCGTTCATTGTTAGTATGCCTCTCTGAGTTGCAGGATTCCACATTCCATTGCTGTTTTCCTTTTGTTGAAGCCCTTTGGGCATAAAAGAGACTGTGTGTGTTGTATTGGTTTTATGTTACCTGTAGCTTATACTGCTTAACAGGGTGACAGTAACTTGGATTTTACTTAAACAGTAACTTAGATTTTAAACAAAAATTGGCTTAAAGTCAGCTATGGGAAGGACAGTATCTGAACTTGTGAAATCTTCTGGTTGCTGTGATGCGATCTGAAGCAGTAGTTCCGTAGTCACTGTATGATGGTTTCCTTTGCCTCTGAAAGGGAGCGCTATTGCCTTTCTGCCTTCCCTCCCTTCCCTTGCTTGGGCTAGTGTTTCTAGGACAATCTGACTAAGAGAGTAAATCCAATGGAAAAATAACTTGAGGCACAGGGAGTGTTAGGTTTTTGCCATACGCGTTTCCAGTCTGGTTTGCTTTGTGGCTGACACAAAAGAAATACAGTTTATAGATCAAAATGCCACTCAGCTTTGCAGCAAAGTGCATTGCTGTGGTGAGAGACATTTGTTCTATACATCTGTTGCAGTTAAGTTGTTAAAAGCCAATGTTCTAGACTCCAACATTCTCAGTCTGGGAACATATAGCTGAACACAGGACCAGGCAGAATTTTTGCTCAGCTGTGACATTTCTAAAGGATTATGGGAACAGCATCAAAGGCTCTGCTACAGTGCTGTATAGTTGGATACTCTAGAGATCCCTATGTCTACTTGACTTGCTTATAATTCATGGCAGGTTTTGATTACTGTTTGTAAGGCACATGCTTTGAGTTGAATCTCTCAGATAACTGATAATTATATGGGTTAATTCTGGTGCAACTGTATGAAGGAGAGAATTGGTCCAAAGGTGGCTTTGAAGGGCTTACTACATGGATGGGATAGTCTGTGCTATACTGCCTCTTCAGGTACCTGAGATCAGCCCAAGAGAGCCTTGACCTAAATAAAAGGCCCCTGAACTCCACGAACATCTAACTAGACTTCTGAACACAAGTTCCAAATTCTACTTTAATTTTTAGACTTGAGAAAAACGTGTGGAACTTTTAGCTGGTATCAGAGACAGATGGCATCCTTTTCCTTTAGTTGTTCTTTTGCTATTGCTCCTTTTCCATATCTCCTCTTCTTGTTGTTCTTGTATTCTGGTCTTTCTCTCTCCTTACTAACTAAACCTTTTTCTCTCAATTCCTTTGAAAAACTGCATTTCTTTGCTCTCATTAAATTACCTGTTCTACACACTATTAAAGTGACAGTTTCTTTATAGTAAGAGGATGCGATTTTATGCCTGACTTAGATTTTGAAGAGAATGGTACTGTTTTGAATAAATGGATCTAAATCTCATAATAAATTTATTTTGATTCCAGCTGCAGGTGTTGTGAGACCTTCTTGTTGAAATAACTGGGAACTTCAGTTGTTGCAGGAAATGTTAATGACTGTAGTATGTTTGACTCTTAATCCCTATTTTTACAGTGCAGCCAGGTATATAGTTACTTTAAAAAATGAAAATGAGCTTTTGAGCCTGACTTGTATTTACACGGTAATTTAGTATGAAGTTACTTAGTACAGGTGTTTCTGTAATTGTGATATATGGGGAAAAACTTAATGTTCAGTGGTCCTGAAATCCCTACTTCTATCTGCATGATGCTCTTGTCTCTGAGCTGTAGTAAAGGACTTGTATGGGCACAGGCTTTCTAAAGGTTGTTTTGTAATTTTTAGTTTTTCACTAACTTTTTTATTTCACTACTATTTTTTGAATTTGTACTTATAAGTAGATTATTGTGTTGAGTAAGTTTTTTAATCGTGAAATGTTGGCCTTAAATACATTCAAAGAATCTGCTGTGATTTTTAAAATAAAATAAATATGTATATCTGCAATGAAATTATAGGTAGGGTAGGATATTAAATAAGAGTATGTAGGGATATACTTTTAGAATATA